ACTGAGTGTTCTACAACTTATCTGACAAATTTCAACCACAACTACGATATTACATAAGAAGTCTATCACAAAAAAAATATAGAAGTAAAACGAGATGAAAACTAAAATTTGTAACACTTTATATCCACTGAAACTATTCTAAAAGGGCTCTATTGGCGAAATATGACGTTATTGAATTCTTCAGCATTATGAAGATCCAACTAGAAAGTCCTATATCCTAAATTCCAGTACTTGGTAGGCCTCCCCGATTCAACAAAACCTCATGAAATCGGTTTGGCATAGATTTTATGAGGTTGTTGATGAATTCTATTGATATTGCCGCCCATTCTGGATAAGGTTGTCATCATTTTGGGGTGCCTCGCCTTCTCGATAGGTCAAGTTTCATTCGGCTCCACACATGTTCAATCAAATTCAGATCTGGAGATCATGCTGATCACCACATTATTTTAACATTATTGTTTTCTAGAGTTCGTAATTTGTCAGATAAGCTGTGGAACACTCAGTATATTGAACAACAATGCTCTGTGTCTCATATTTGGGCAATTAATATTGGAAATCCGTTGATAAAATGATAAGAATCATCGATATCAGGAAACAAGTTTGAATTGAAAAATTTCATCCTGTATTTCACTTGGAGGCGAATTTTCGAAAACATCTCGAGTTAGTAGTCTAATATAAATGATGGATATCGAGAAGGCCGTTTCTGAATATACTGGATCGAATGGGCCATAGTTTTAATCACCATTTTTTATTTTTTTCACTGAAATGAGATTTTGTCCTAGTTTCTTATCATCCTGTATAATCCAAAAAAGTACTTTTTTCGTCTCTCATTATCCTCCATAAAACATGAGAACAGTTCTTCCCAAGGGTCAGCTCAAGTGGAGTTCTAGAGAAAAAAATCAAGAAATGCAAGACTTTCGAAAAAAAAAACGAATTTTTGTTCCAATGGCCAATTAAGGAGAAATCACGAAAACGTCCCGAGATGAGGTCCCAGTGTATCATAATATGACTGACATTTGATCAGAAAAAAATTTCTCGAGTTCTGGCAGCATTGGAAATGTAGACCATTGTGTAATGGTTCCACTTTACACCCTGTGTGAGTTTTGTTTTGCGGACTTTTTCAGATTGTTCTAGCTCTCTTGGAAGCCGATGAAACATCACATCTGATATCGAAAACCGCATGAAGATCGCTCAGTTTTAAAAAAAAATACAGGTCTTCAAAATAGAGTCAAATTGTGAGTGGTCCATTTGGTGTGTTGAGAACTGTATATGAATATGAAAATATCAACAACTTACAAGTAAAATCACAAAAAAACATTGGAGAATGATGTTCTTGAACATCCATATCCAAAAATAAACAACTACTTACTACAAAATCAAAATAAAATAAACATAGAAAAAATGAAAATAAACTCAACTTTCAAAAACAACAACAGGTACAAGATGTATAGAAATACAAATTACTTGTACTTCCAAGAATACTAGCATGTGCTTCAGATAATATTTGCAGAAATTGAATTTCAACATTATACCTTGCTTGTACTGTTGATATACGCACACCTGCAGCTAAATGTTGACAAAAATCATGAACTTCATCATTTTAAGGAAGTTCAGGCAACTTCACATTATTGGTAACTTCTTCCAGTTTATTGAAAAACGCTTCATCTTCTCTCCTCTTTTTGCTTCGAGAGCTGGCTGCTTGTAGTAGTTGGTCTTTTTCCTAATATCACATTCAAGAAGGTAGAATTCTCAAAGAACTTCCATGACCAGGCGTCATCAATTTCTTTTTGAGTTTGAGAGTTTGCACCACTACCTGATGGAGGTTTACTGTCGACCATGCTTTACACTTAGCATAATGATCTCTAAAATACTTCCATTTATTTTTTAGTGATTCAAGAGATATGTTTAATCCCCTAGTACTGTGGTGCACCACTGATTGCAATATTCGGGATTGTTCCATTAGGATTCTCTGTCGGACCCATAGAAAGGGATGGCAGATAAAGAACAGCAATACCGGCGAGCACGAAGCTGAGCGCGGAATGTGAGTGATGCCTTAGCGTCGATACAGACACGCGTTTGTTTGCCGCGCGGTGCCGCGGCAGCACCGCAATTGCGGTCTGTGATACAAGTAATGCATGTTTCCAATGCACACACGCCTCCGGCGACGTTGCGGTAACGCGCGTTCGTCTTGCGTGCATTTTGCGCCGCCAAAGCTCACGGGAACGCAGCGGCGCCGCGCACGCAAGAGCGGCTCGTAGTAAATTGTTTTAAGTAGAACGATACAGACGTGCGGTGTTGTGTCTCCGAAATGTCCGGCAATTTAGATGAAATTGACATTGAATTGTTTATTGGGGCAGTGCAGAAGCATCCTGCAATATGGAATGTTGCACTGGAAGAATATCATGACCGGAACAAAAAGAGAAATGCATGGATGACAATTGCGCGTCAATTTCAAGAAGGATTTGATGAGATAGAGGACGAAGAAAAAAATTATATATGTAAGTGCAATATTCTTATTCATTTGTTAATTCAAAAATGACAATAGCTGTGGACAAATCCTTAGGTCAAATATATTGTATGTAAAAGAACATTAAATATAGTTTGTTTGCCATGAGACGCTGCCAACATCAGAAACAAAATAATCAGCCAACTTGTTTCTAGCTTCAATATACTGAGTAGGTGGTCGTGAGGATCCGATGGTGTCTTTCACATCAATAAACCCTGGTACACTTAATATATCTTGCAAGTCGAACCCATCTCTATCTCTTACAAAATTATGGAGAGCACAACATGTCTTAATTATAACTTTGGCAAAGTCTAAATTTGCATTGATAGCTTTATGGAAAATTTTCCATTTATTTGCCAGTATTCCAAATGTACTCTCTACATTCCTGCGTGCTCGAGACAATCTATAATTAAAAATACTTTTCGTGTCTCCCAAAACTTTGCCAGAGTAAGGTCTCATTATGTGTTTGGATAGGGAAAACGCTTCATCGGCAACAAACATGTAGGGCATGTTTGGACCTGCTGTTCGTGGAAGAGACTGAGCTTTAGGAAGATTCAGTTCATTATTATAGAGCCTCCTATAAAAGTCACTTCCTTCAAAGATAGTGCTGTCAGAGTCTTT